CTAAACCCATCAAGTTTTCCCTGTATATTTAAAATATAATATTTGAATTGTTACAATTTAACATATTGTAGTAAATATTTGTATTATTCGCGTCGTTTATTTTATTTAATATAGTTTTATTGTTTTATTATCTTTGTTTAATTCTTTTGCTAGTTCTATTTAGTTAATTAGTTAGTTATATTTTAAGTTTTATTATTATGGATAGTCAAAGTTTTCCATTTGTTCCATCAGCTAATGCGTTGGTCAATGAAATGTATTCATCGAATTAGGTAAATGTTACAGATGTTCTTAATAACAAAAACATTTCAGTTAACATCCAAATGTTTGAAAGTCTCAGAAAAAAGTGTGCGTAAATATAAAGTTGGGCCTAATAAAAGCCTCACTTTAAAGAAGAAAAGTCGCATAGAAATTTATCGCATGTATGAAAGTAAGTTTCTACTAAATATAAAAGTTGCGCCAAATGTAGGCAACCAACTTAAATATTGGTAGAATTTAGGTTGAGTTTCTTGAGAATAGTTTCAATAAACAAAAAATTTTTAATATTATCCAGCTAATAATAAGCACTTTTAAAAATGATGATATAAACGCTGAATAAGCTATATTTTAAATGATATATAATCACAAAACATACTCAACATTGTGTTATATAATCCACATAATAAAGTACGTTAGATAAAAAATGTAAAATCTCGGGTCGTCCAAAACTAGTTTCTGATAAGAATAATAGAATATTAATAAAAGTTTGCAAAAAAGGTCCATGAAATACTCTAATGAAATAAGCTATGAGCACGTGTGCTTGGTTGTATAGTAATTTCCAGCCACTTCTAGTCTGTCAAAAAGTAACTTCGCAAAAAAATAATTACTAAATTCACTAGACAGTTCGGACTGGGAATAGCGAACCGATTATATCACGTTTATTTGATGATATTTACAATTAATTTTATTATTTTTTAAAATTTATTGTGTTGTTGATTTTCTCTCTTTCTTTTAAATTATTTATATTCAGTGACATTAGAAGTGTTACAGAAGGAATCATTTCTTGAACTTAATTTTTTGACAACATTATGACTGTATCTAAAACATGTCTTGATAACAATACCAATGTAAAAATAAAGTTTTATCTTTAAATTTTTTGCGCAGAGACTGATTTGTGAAAACCAATTCGTATAGAAATTTTTAGTTATTCCTCAGTCTAATTGTATTCAGTGCAAGAAAATGCCCAGAGTTCAAAGACACCAAAATTACCATCATGTTAGTGATTTTGACAGGGATAGAATTACTGCATATAGAGATATGGGTTTGTCGTATCGCAAATATTCGGCCGTCGTGGTAATTTTACGGCAATGACGGTTGTGCGTGTCTGTCTTGTGTGGACAAACGAAGGTAGAGGAACACGAAGAAGACCAAATGGTCAACCGGGGCGTACCACAGAGCGTCAAGATAGGCGCTATAGATTACTGTTTTGCTACTAAGCGTCAAATTGCTGACCAATGATTTCGAGTAATAGGTAGACCTATTAGTTGCGTACTCTACACTGTCGCATTCGAGCCTTTGGACTGGTTTCATTCCGCCCACGACTAGTGCTTCCTTTGACTGTGAACCACTGTCATCAAAGTTTGAATCGGTGCAGAGAACGGCAGCATTGGGTGGCAGCATGGAGTAATTATATATAATATGAGAGCTGCGCATGTTATGTTGATGGCATCTTACAAACCACTTTACTGCCTTATCTCGAGGCCTTTAAATCCTATCGAACATGTATGGGATATAATGGGAAGGAGACTGCCCACTTTGTACCATCTTCCACAGACTCTGGCACAGTTAATACTGAAAGTTCAAGTTGCTTGGAACCAAGTGCCACAAGAAGACATCGATCATCTTATTTTGTCAATGCTTAGACGTATACAGGAGTGTATTCAGCTACGGAGTAGCCAACCATATTATTAATTTTTTTTATTACTTGTTAATAAAAATTCCTGACAACGTTATTGTTTCATTCTTGATGTAAATCTACCATGTTGCCAAAAAATTATTCCTTCTCGGTGTAACATTTCTAATGTCATCGAGTATAATAATTACACTTTACAAACACATACACAATGATGAATATACAGTCTTGTCCTCGAAGAACTACAATAGAAAAAAAGTGATAATGTGATTATGCGAAATATGCATCATCATCATTCTATCATTCTATCTTTACAACACTGGGTGAGTCCTAGAATCCTCGAGAATTTCTTTCCAGTCGTCCCCATCCATAGCCTTTCTCAGTCAAGCACGTATTCCCATATTTCTCATATCTTCAAGCTTCTCTGACCAACCAAGCTGGGAACTAATTTTATTATTGCTTTAAGCGCAGTTTTGTCAGGCTATAATACAAATATATTTGGCAACAACGCTCGAAATTTGGTAGTTTACAGTTCGACAAATATAGCTGAAAGTGTGAAAACGCGTGACGATCATGATGCGCATTCGTCAAACGACGGACCTCGCACTCGCACTAACGGTCCAGACCGTTTGTATGTGCGTTCTCATTTCATTGTTAGCGCAGGCAATGGGAATTTCACACTTTCAGCTATATTTGGTGAACTGTAGTTCATTTTTTTGAGCTTTCACTATTTTGTTGTATTGTGCAGTTGGATTTTTATTATTCAAATTATTATTCACACGAAACAAACACTAAAATATTTTTTTGTATATTCCGCTATATTTCTTTTGTCATAAAATCGAAAAAAAAAAAAAATAGATTTCAAGTGTCAAATAAAAATAAGTGTCCAAATAAACTGAACTAAAAAGAATCGTAATTTCGTCTACAAATATTCGTACCATAATTTGCTGCAAAAATCGTACATTTACTTACCTAAATAATTATATAGTCATTCATAATGCCAATGCATACAGGATTTAAAATATTAACTGTAGGAAGGTTCAACGTTCAACAAATCAACAATAACACAATTTATTCCATATAATTATAATTACTTTACTTCCTGTTCCAAATTTAATCACATAGTTAAAAGATCAGAGGTGGATGCAGAAAAATTTGGATCTAATGTAATAGCAGTTTAGGGTAGTATAATTATCTTTCAGTTATTGTTTTGATAAAAAGAAGAAAGAATATGTTTAGACATTAATAGTTTGTGAGTAAAAATGTCAAATGATACAATATGGGTAAATTAACCCTAAATACTAGTCTATCTAAAAAAAAAAGAAGTCGCACGGCAATGAGTGGCCGTTTTGAGGCATACAATTGAGGAACGTTTAGCAAAATTTCTTGTAGTACAATTCAATCTCGAAATCGATTGGGTGTTTCTTTTTTTGTATTGTATCATATATCATATACATATGTTCAAAGTCGTGCCAAATTGTATTCATTGTCAGCAATAGGAAATACGAGCCCTTTCCCATATCAGTTGGCCCACCTATGGAATTTGCAGTTTAACTCGATTACCATAAACAAATTATAGGTACTCTGCATGTTTTTATAAGTTCCCATATTAGTTAGTATGGCATTTTTATTAATATTTATTAAAAACATTACTCTTATGGTTTTTTATTTTTATTTTCAACAATAAAAAAAATACTAATCCCTGGCTATGCATTCAATTATGCCACCATACGTTGATTTTGAAAATGACATCAAAACAATAATATTGTAAGTTAATGTCAAATGTATTTTGTAGTATTGTAAAGCTTTTTGCCGTTTGTGTATTGTACAATGGGTCGAGGTGAAGTTATCGTTGAGAAAATTTGTTCAATCATTATTAAAATTTTTAATTCTGGAAAATCCAATTCGGAAATCATGAATATGCTGCAATTGTCACGCTATAGTGTAAGAAATATAGTCAGAGATACAAAACTACAGCTTCGTTTGTCACAAAACCTAGAAATGCACGAACAAGTAAAATAACCGAAGCAGACCGAAGGGCATTAAGACGAATTATAGTGAAAAATCGACGAGTAATATGGAAAGAGGCTCGTATGTAACAAATCCTTTTGTCACACTATGTACTTCGCTCCCTCTTGTGCAATGGATATAAGATGAGTTGTATAATCTCGCAGGCCAATCCATGCCTTGTCACTTAGATTCGCAATAATTAATATGTAGTTTAAGATTACTATTATCTTAGTGGTAAACTCACTAAACAGCGCGGCGATAACCATCTCAAAGCAATAGAAGTTTTTAAATTATACAATACCCTACAGTCAACTGATTGTTTTCGTTCCGAAAAATTGAATTGGAATTAAATTCAAAATATCAGCGACGAAGAATTCAATTCAAAAGATCCATAATAAAATACGGACAAGTTTGCAAAAGTTTTATAGATTTCGTCTGAGATGAAAATACAAGTTTGTATAAGATGATAACACTAACACCTTCAAATATGAAAGCGAAATGTCAATTAGCCGTATCTATACGGCATGATTCCTATAAAAAAAATGTAAAATATCCATATTTCGTCAAATACCCTCCTACAGTCAATATTTTCTAGAAACAAATTTACAATTACAATACAATATTTGATGAAAAAATATATAAAATTCGATAATAATAAAAATAACTTAATCATTTATATATAACCTATATAAACATACTCAATGTTACAATTAATCGAAAAAATATTTGGTATAACTACAAAAAATAATTAATATGTATCCCTAACTAGTATCAACATATATGCATTTTCGTACAGGGTTTAAAACAGTCAAAATAAATTCACAGTATAGAATCTCATCAACGGTTTTGATTGCACGAATGTGAGTAAAAATTATTAGCAATCGTTGTATTTTCGTTAATTTTCTTTCCTTCGGTTTGAATAGTTGGCACAATTTTTTGGTACTTTACTGTATACACAAATCCAGAAATACAAGCAAAGGGAAAAAACAATATGCCCAAATAAAAGATGTAAAAGAGGAAATGTCCCGTTTTATCCAAGTCATATGATAAGTAATAAATAATATCATTTTTACAATTTATTTTGACTGCTTACCCAATTACCTTAAGTATAACTCGTGTTTTTGACGCCGCGCATCAAGGGAACAAGCAAGGCTGGAGGTCCAGCTTGTCGTAAGAACGGATGCGCCAATAGCTCTTGCGCAGTTGCTCGTTGAGCGGGATCCCTGACCAACATCCTGTCCAAGAATGACTGCAATCTTGGCGATACCTAATAAATGATAATAAAAATGCCGTCAAATGATTATAAATTGAAACCGAAAAAAATCTTCTATTAGAATTATTTTCAGAATACAATTTCCAGAACTACTGGTAGAAAAAACAAAGTTTCATTAATCTAAGTAAGCTTCTAATCTAAGTATTCTCTATTGGGGAATAGAGAATAATTCAGCAGTATGTAATGTATACAGCCGAAGAGTGGAAGATTAGTAGATATGATTAAATCTGTGTTTGAAGTTACAGCACATTCAACAGCTATAGGACTCTTGTTCTGTGCTTCAGAAGCATCTGTGTATACAATCTGGTCAAATATGTTGTTAGCAATTAAATTTTTAAAGGCTTGCCTTAGAAATTGTGGATTTGTCTGATACTTATCATAATTAGTTAACGGGAGAAATCTGCTATCAATTTATTCCAGGGAGCTTTTAGGTGATATTAATATTGGAGTTGCGACTGAAAGATCGATATTTTTCAGATGTGGTGAGAGATACTGTGGCATAGATTGAGGTTTAATAGGATAAGGAGAGTTTAGAAGTCATTACGTAATAATTTATAAGCTGAGTTTTCGGTATTAGCTGAGATTCGAGACAAGTATTTTAAAAGGAGTTGCCGGCGACGTATCCAGAGGGGTAGTTCTTTAGCTTTTCTATATAAAGTCTCTGCAGGGCTTATTCGAATTTTAATTACATGGAAAATATCAACAATAACGTTACAACTTAAAATATATAAAAGCGCAGGCGAGGACGTGTTGAAGATGTCGTGGGTGACTTTGGTTTGGGAGATCGAAACGAGAGAGGTGATATGCTAATCCAGTTCTGTCAAGAACAAAAATTAGTCATTGCGAATACCTGGTACAAACTGCCACCTCGGAGACTCTACACCTCCCCAAAAGATTGAAGTCAGAAGTTGTAAGGGCAAACAAACAGAGCAAATGGGAAAAAGCATCAGACCCAGACGACATATACATAGAGGTTCTAACAATGTTGAGTGAAGACAATATAGACGCCTTGGTAGATCTTTTTAATGACATTTATGGATCCGGTCAAATACCAGAGGACTGGCTTCAATCAACCCTTATACCAGTCCCAAAAAAACCAAACGCTAATAGTTGCGACCAATTCCGAATGATTAGCATATTGAGCCATGTCCTAAAACTCTTCTTACAGATAATTCACATAAAAGTATACAACAGATGTGAAAGAGACATTAGCCACACACAGTTCGGTTTCAGACAAGGATTTGGCACAAGAGAAGCACTTTATAGCTTAACTGTCCTACTTCAAAAATGCAGAGATCAGCAAAAAGATGTCTTCCTATGCTTTATAGATTACCAGAACGCGTTCGATTGTGTTAATCGTCCAGAATTAGTAAGATTGTTCCAGGAACGTTCGATAGATGAGAATGACCTTAAACTCATAAAATCAATCACCTTTATATGAATCAAGTGGCATCTGTGAGAATAGGACTGTTCTCAATCGAAGAAGGTGTACGACAGGGTTGTGTTCTGCCACCTCTCCTTTTTAATCGTTACTCTGAAACGATTTTCGATAGAGCCTTAAGTGACAATGAAGATGGAATCAAAATCAACGGATAGACTATTAATAATCTTCGCTATGCTGATGATACACTCATAATAGCTGATAGCCAAGAAGCGCTACAACGACTACTAGATAGAATAAACACTGAAGGAGAACGACTGGGCCTGAAAATTAATATAGACAAGACAAAGGTAATAGTGGTTAGTAGAATACGAAATATGCAATTAAATATGAGAGTAAACAATAAGAACATCCAAAAGGTCCACAAGTTCAGATATCTCGGTAGTTGGATAACTGAAGATCTAGATCCAGACATAGAGATGCGAAGCAGGATTAAGCAAGCCAGAACAGCATTTACTAATATGAGAACCTTGCTAAGCAACAGCAACCTTAACTTAACGCTTCGATATCGCTTTGTAAAATGTTACATTTAATCCATACTGCTATATGGTGTAGAAACCTGGACCATAAAGGCCAATATGATTGAGAACCCATTGGAGGTCTTTGAAATGTGGGTATTTAGATGACTACTTAAAATTCCCTGGATAGATCACACAACAAATGTCGAAGTATTAAATCGAATGGGCAGAGAACGAGAATTGTTGCCAATAATAAAAAGAAGAAAAACTGCTTATCTGGATCATATATTTCGAAATTTCAAGTACCAGTTCTTAAAGCTTATTATGGAAGAGAAGATAGAAGGAAAACGGGGCATTGGAATAAAGAAATGCTCATGGCTTAAAAACATAAGGAATTGTATGCCAGAGGAGTATGCCAGAATTGTCGCCAACATCCACTAATTGGATAGGGCACCATAAGAAGGAAAGGAGCATTTACTTTTCAAAGTATTGATTAGAATAGACACGTCTACAGCTGCCTGAATAAAATTTAACTGGATTTAACCGAGTTTTAATCATAGATAGCTTTTTAGTAGTGTTCTGTCATAGTCCTCGCTTCCACACCCTACAATAAAACTGAAAATATGAAATATTTTAACAACCTGATTTTTAATGGTAATGGAAAGTCTCTGTTAGTAATTATGTGCAACATCTTGATAAAACTTAATCTCACCATTTCAATTCTTGATTTGATCTCTGCTGCTATGTTACAGTGATTGTGAACGAACACAATCACTGGAACAACGAAACAAATATGTAGAAAAAATAGAAAACAACTAGAAAGAAAATTAAAATATAAGAGAAGCATCGAAGAGTTATACAAATTTTTATAGAAATGAAAAGTGGATAGTGTGATAGAGCGCAGCTCGATGGTTGCCCCACTATTTTCCCCACTACAAACAGTTGAGTTTTGTATTCCATATCGGTAGTGTGACATTTCAAAAATGTGATATAAATTACAAATAAAATATTGTATTATTTCCCAAATATTCCACAATTATAAATAGAACGTAATTACACACTACTGTTACTTCTGGAGGATAAAACACATAAACCGCAAAGATGGTTAAAATATTTCAAAAACATGTAAAACGGCGTAAAAAAATAACAATATAAAAAATACAGGAAAAACCCAAAAACAAATAATACAATACCCAACAGACGAAGAGACAAAAGAAGTAATAAACGAACTAGAAAATAATAATTGAACCATGTAGGCAGAACCATTAGAAAGCTATCTACCAGAATATCAGAACATTTAAAAAGACCAAACTCTTCAAGTTTTGGCCAACATTTAGAGTCTAGTAAACACAATTTCAACATCAATACTGGTTCGTCTATTTTGCATGACATCAGTAGAAAGAAAAACTATTTGGAGTTGGATCTATTGGAAGATTTGGAGATCACAAAGGAAACGAATGGAAACTTTCATTGTCTTAACACTCAAACTAATTTAAACTGTACTAAATTTAAACCTATTTTTAAAAACTTTATTACAGCTTCACCTCGTAGTGGACCCAGCTCGGCTGTCTAGACTTCCTGCACTGAGTTTATACATTAAGAATCTACCAATTTCAGGCTTTGTTCAGCATTACTATTGTATTTAACAATTTACACAACTAGCTTGCTCAGATTCAATTGATCCACAGTTGGAGTTGATTTCACTCTTCATACCTCTGCATAATCTACATATACTAATTCCACAGTTTTATATTTCAACACCTGTTGGTCAGTTGGTCTTTAGTAATGCTATTACATATTAGTTTTACAGTTCCCCCAGTGGCTTGAGGTTTAACTGAACTACTTGAACTATATCCATTTACACACTGCTTTCAATTCTGATTTAATTTTAATATTTCAATTTCATAGTCAATTTTCTTCTCGTTTTGCAGTATTGACAGTGCCTGGTAGACCATTTTATTGTATTCAACTAGCCACTGTCCAATAGATCGTTTGGTTTATTTCTTTCATTCACACTTTATGTACAGTTGCGGTCACGGAATAGTTTACACCTTACTTTTTATATTGTAATACTGTAAAATTGCAGTGTCGTACGGATTTGATAAATGTGAAAGTCAAAAAATTTCAAAACGTCAATGCTTTCGCGGGTGTTCAACAATAAAATAAAAGTATATTAAACTCTTCCAAAATGTATTATGTAATAAAATAGATTTAAAATAAAATGCATATTAAAAAAAAAGACTTCTTTATTTTCGTTATTAAGATCATAATCCATTTTATTCAAAAAACTGTTTTCTATATTTTTCATTTTGTAAAATATTTTGATATTTTAATTTTAATCTACCCATTCTAGCTAGTACACCACTGGCAACGTCACTTTGACGTAAAAGGTGCGTTTAAACGAAGTAAAAATTTAAAAAATGGGCTCCTAGATACGTGAACCTGTAAACTATTCCGTGACCGCAACTGTACATTTCATTTAGCCTCAAACCTACAACCTTATTATTACAGACGGGTATGAGTGTGAGATCTGGATTATGCAATCTAGTTTAAATCAAAATATTCTATATGTCATACTTCATCAGCTGATTTTTTTCAGTAGTTCTAGTTGGACCTTTGGCCAATGACAACTTATACAGAATTTTAATATGTGCTGATCACAGATCCATAACTTTGACTGCCTATCAAAGTTGTCATATGTCACATGTCACCGTATCATTTCCGCTTAGATCATTATCCCTCCAGATACTGACAAAGAATGTAGCGTAGAATCTTTTAAGTAATTTTAAACTGTTTGTCCTCGTTTTAGTGTAGTGTTTTGTACAATTTTATGTCATTATTAATGTTTCCACATTCTACGCTTGCCGGATAGTTTATATTTGATGAAGTAAGTCTAAAACGTTAATCTCAAAAAGTTTTTTTCATCCATTAACTTCGAGTTTTTATCGAAGTTAACTAATTTCCTTCATCTAAAAAACGTTTTCTTGGCTTATTTCAAATGCCCCTGAAGATGCTATTTTAAGTGAAAGTACTTGGGCTAGATTTAACTAACTTGTGCTCGATAATAGCAATATTTTTCAAAGTTTAGAAAATAATAAACGTACAAGATAAGTCAAGGTTTCGGCAGATATATTAAAAGAAGGGGAAATAATATCAGAGAAAAGAATATCTAGATTAATTTTAGAAGTATGACTAATTAAAAAATAAGATGGTTGGTCATTATTGAAGTTCTTATTGAATATTAATTTATCGATATATTTATGTCAGATCATTTCTTAGAGTAGTTATATAACAGCTATAAAGATACTACCTTGTGAGCATTTTTAAGTTTCGGTGGAGGCATTTCCCTTATCCTTCTCATTGCTTGTAAAGGAGGTTCGTTGAATAACGGCGGTTCTCCGTCTACCATTTCGATGACCATAATACCTAGAGACCAAATATCGACTTCTGGTCCATACGGTAATCTGGAAATCACTTCGGGAGACATCCAGTACGGAGTTCCTACCAGCGATTTTCGTTTCGGAAGTTCTTGAGAAACCTAAAAGAACGGGATGAAAAACAAAAATTAGAAAAATACTGGTTATTTTAGCGATGGAGCATGTTTTAGAAGAAGACAGTATTTCTACATTTTTGTAATAATCAATGGTCATAAAGAACAATACAAAATACTCAATATCATCATCATCATCATCATCATTATCATCATCATCATCATCATCATCATCATCATCATCACGTAGCTCTACAACCCTGGGTGGGCCTTGGCTGACTGTACAACTTTTTTCCAATTTGTTCGGTCTTCCATCAACCTAGGGTCAAATGGAATGTTCATTTTCCGGAGATCTGACTAGATGTTATCTCTCCATCGCATTCTGGGACGTCCGAGTGGTCTTTTGCCTGTGGGAATCTCCTCCCATATCAGTTTTAGAAGTCTCTCGTTATGTAATCTGTGCACGTGGCCTGCCAATCTTAGTCGCTGTGATTTAATTTCTTGGACAATATCGCCGTCATTGTAGAGAGCTTTTAATTCGATATTGGTTCTGATCTTATACTGGTTTGTGATGATGTCATGGTGAGGAGCGAAGATTTTTTAAAGTATTTTTCGTTCAAAGCGTCTGAGCTTTTCTTCGTTTGCTTTGGTCATGGTCCACGTTTCGCATCCGTATGTTATTACAGGTCTGACGATGGATTTATAGATTTTGATCTTTGAACTTCTTGTAAGATTTTTTGATTTTATGAGCTTATCTAATGCGAATAGACAGCGGTTTGCAGATTGGATTTTATCTTTTATTTCTTCAGTAACATCGTTGTCATCTGTGATTACGGCACCCAGATACTTAAAACGTTGTACTCTTTCGAAATTGAAGGTGTTGACCGTCACATTTTGTCCTATTCTGTCTCTTCGTGTCGTTCTATTTATACACATATATTTCGTCTTCTCTTCGTTAATCTTCAGTCCTACTTCACTTGTTGCTCCTTCCACCTTATTGAAGATGTCTTTCGTGGATACGATGGAGTCTCCAACGAGATCTATGTCATCTGCATATGCGACTAACAGCTTGGGCCCTTGAACCGATAGCAATTCTGTTTTTGTTTCGGCAGATCTCATGGCTTTCTCTAATACAAGGTTAAAAGGTAGTGGAGATAACGCATCACCTTGTTTGAGTCCACTGTTGATTTCAAAGCTGCCAGACAATTTTTATTATTTACACGTACTTTAGATATTCCACCCTCCATACAGACATTGGTCATCCAAATGAGTTTCTTTGGTATTGAGAACTTCGCCAGGGCATTCCATTTGGCTTCTTTCAACGCTGTCATATGCCTGTCGAAAGTCTATGAAAATATTGTGTATGGGTCTGTTATACTCCCATCCCTTTTCTAGAAGTTATCTCAGCGTGAATAGTTAATCTATTGTTGATCTGTTGGCCTTAAAACCGGCTTGACATTTGCCTAGGACATTTTCAGCATAATGGATTAGTCTACTAAGAATGATGTTTGAGAGTGTTTTATATGCCGTGTTTAGGATCGAAATTCCTCTATAATTCGCGCATTTTGTTTTGTCCCCTTTTTCGTGGATGGGCACTATTATGTTTTCCTTCCATCGTGCTGGTATCCTTTCTTCTAACCATATGTGCGGTATTAGCTGGTGGATTTTGCAATGTAGTGCGTCTACTCCATATTTTAGAAGTTTTGCTATGTGATTGTTTAGCTTATTTAAGGTCTTTTGGGTTTCTTTGTAACGTTTAAAGCGTTACATTTTTGTTCTTATTAATTTCAAAGTACTCTCCATTATTTTCTGCTCATACTATTTGATTTTCGTTGATAACAACTTCTGTTTCCTTTGTTTGTGTTCCTTATCCGTTGATTGTATCAGAAGAAACAGAAACCCCACCACTAAATAGCTTGCTTCTATCAATCCGATCCGATTTAATTCATTTTTAAAATAAACCAGCAAACGACAAGGTACTCAAAAATAAATCTTCGTGGTCAGAAATTTCCAACAGTCTGGGTAAGTTTAATACTTGTTCTTTTTACAACGACAACATATTTTCATAGATTAATCAAGAACATTAGTACTGTTAGCTTGTCATATAATTTTGTGTACGCTAGTACTTAAAACTGCTTACAATTTTTATTTTCTTTTTACCTTTGCTGTAATAATAATAATTCAATATAAATCACTGGCATTAATCGCACAACTTTGTCTTTTTCGTTTTTCATATAATAATTAATCTATCAATTGCAATTATTAATTTGTGAGTTTTGGCAACATCAGAGAGTTCTGGATCGGTATGCAGTTCTTAGAGAGAAGAGCTTTCCGCTTGATAGAATTCTTCTGTTGTTGGACAAAACTCGTGCCATGACGAATTTTGTATCCGCTTTTGTTTTTCTAGCCACCTTCGTTTTGCTTCAAGAAAATTCACGTTGACCTTGGTTATGGTTAAAGAAAATCTACGTTGACCTTCGTTATGGTTAAAGAAAATCTACGTTGACCTTGGTTTTGGTATAAGAAAATCTACCTTGGTTTTGTTTTGAAAATCCACATGGTTTTTGGATTCAAGAAAATCCATACGGTTTTGGTTTAGAGGCATGGTTTTTGCAAATAGTTTATGGTTCGAGTTGAGAAGAGAGCAACAGCAGGATTTCTCATAGAGGTAAGCTAAGTTTCTTTCTTTCTTTGAATTTTGTATGTAGATGCTTAATTCTCTATTGCTAGAACCTCAATTTTTAATTGTTATTACATTTTGATTTGTTATTTTATTAACGTATAAATTAATAAAGATATGTGTTGAAAAATTATTTTATTAATAATTCCCGATTTCTCAAATTTAATTAGATTATGCCGAACAACATCCCTGAGGGGTTTCAATGTGCAATGGATGAGCTAGTCGTTACATCTTCAAAGGATGGATTTTTGACGGGCTTGTCAGCTGTGATATAGATCTCTTCTTTGTGCTGTTCTTCCTGTATGATGTTTAGAAGGTCCCTAAAATACTCTTTCCATTATCTCCGTCGATTATCATATGGTCTTGATTGTCTCTCAGTGTATGGAATTGGTTATATGTCCTCTTTTCTCAGAGGAAATTGCTTTATAGAATTCTTTGGAGCCTGGTTTGGGCATGTCTCTCTCCATAGCTTCATATTTTTGTTGTTCATAGTTTCTTTTCTTTGTGCGTATTATTTTTCTTGTTTCTTTTCGGCAGTCGTCATATTTCTTTTAACTTTGGTCTGTTTGCAGTTGTATCCAAATCTTCCTTACTGTTTGTCTCTTTCCAGCTGTTTCCGACATTCCTCGCCATACCATGTTTTTGCCCTCTTCTGCCTACTCCTTCCAAAGATCTTGTCCGCTGTCTTGGTTATTATTTCAGCAGTCGTTTCCCATAGCTGTTCTCTAGCATTGTATTTTCTTTCAGAGTTCTAGGTTTGTTTAACTTGTTCTCTATAGTTTTGTTGTTTCTCTGTATTGTTCATTTCGTCCATGTTCCATTGTGGGTTTAATGTTGTTTGATTGTATTTGTGGCTAGATATTCTGGATTTGACTTTTGCTCTGACTAAGTAATGTGTGTGTGCGTGGAAAGATAATGGCACGGAAACAAGTCCATTTGCCACAGAATGTTGTATGCAGAACTTTCCTTATAATGTAAATACAGAGTTGTGGGTTATGCTGTTTTAAATTTTTACTTCTTTAACAAAATTTACTAGTTTAAAAGTTCTAAGGTGTTTTTATTGGCAGTTAACAAAATGTGTGATAGATTTAATGGAAGAAAATATTTCATTTTAATGAGTTTACGAATTAAATCATCGGATTTTTTAAAATGTTTTTTTGCAACCGAAGAATATATGGTTTAGATCTCCGTAAAAGTTCTGATCACAACTACAGACCGATGACTGTATAATGCCTAGCTTAGCAAGGTGCGATGGAAATCGCCCATGATTTGTTTTAAGTCGAAAAACAGTTGCCGAAAAGAATTTTGAAGTGGAATAGTTGAAAATATATTGGGGTGGAGATGGTAGAGTTGGATGTATTTTAAAATACGTATTTTGTGAGTTTTCTACAACGTTTTAACACTGTCTTTCCCATTTGGACATTATTTTATTTTTTATCAAATTAGAGACGACTAAGTAATGATCTGTGTCTCCGTCTATTCCTCTCAGGCTTCTTACGTCTATATCGAATATTGAAATGCTATAAAGTTGGTACTTGGACAGAGTTCACATTGTAAGTAGTACACTACTACTTACACTAGTGTAAATTTCCAAAATTAATGTAATAGTAGCTTCTAAGTGGAAGAAACTTTATCTCCTCTTTTTGGCATCTTGTAAGCGCCAAAGTATATATAAATAAATTGGATAGAGAAAGATATAACGAAAAAAATACGCAATCTTGTGTGTAAACTCAAAAAACAATCTTACATTTTTTAGGAAGGAGACTCATAATAGATAATTGATTATAGATAGATTACAAATAGGGATAACTACTCACCTGCGCACAAAAACCGAAATCGGACAATTTAACCCTTCCATCAAGGGCTAGTAATATCGAATCGGACTTGATATCTCTGTGTATAACTCCTTGGGAATGAAGGTAAGCTAGAGCCTTAAGGCACTGCTTGCATACCGTTGCGATTTGCTCTTCGTCCATTCTTGAATGAGTAACGATGTCGGTAAGAGCTCCACCTGTAATAGAGTGAGTTACTGAGTAAACTAAAATTAATCAAAGTGGATAAAATTGACAGTTAAATACTAATAAAACTGTTCTGGTATTATTAATATTAGAAAACTAATAACAGCGTTACTCTCAAGTCATTAATCAGCGAATTCCTTGTCAAAAGAACGTAGATGGGAAAATAAGACTGTCCTACACTAGAATACTAACCTGGAATGTTCAGAGCATGTTTCAGTCTGGTAAAATGCACAATGTTATTTAAGAAATAAACAGGTTGAATATCGATGAACTGGGTATCAGTGAAGCCACGTGGCCCAACGATTGTTTTTCAACAGACTAAGCCACAATATATTATTCCCCTAGCGAGAATAACCAACACAGACACAGCGTGGCAGTAATAGTTCATAAAAAATCTAACAGAGCGATGGAATACTATTTACCTATCTCAGAAAGGGTAATGGTACTGAAGTTGGTGACATCTCATGCCAAACTGAATTTGATACGTTTATGCTCCTAAGGCAAATGCCGACGAAGAAGTGGAATTATTTTACCGAGATATCGAATAGGCACTGAGAATAAAGAAAACAAGAGAAATCACGATAGTCCTAGGTGATCTCAATGCAAAGATTGGAAAGGGACAAAGCGGAAAATGTATAGGAAACTATGGTCTGGGAAATCGAAACGAGACAGGAGACCGTCTAATACAATTCTGTCAAGAGCAGAACTTGATTATTACAAAGACATTTTTCAAGGAAAGAGAAGCTTAGGGAGGCGTAGAATGTCATGGCTACGCAACCTGAGAGACTGGTAAGGATGTACATCAAATGAACTTTTTAGAGCAGCTGTCTCAAAAGTCAGAATAGTTATGATGATTGCCGACCTCCGCCGCGGTCATGGCACTTGAAGAAGAAGAAGTATTATTACTTTAATGTACTCTCTAAACATTATTAGTATAAGGGGATATTATTACTGATATGAAGGAGAGATTATGTCACTGGACCAATTATATTCAACAACTATTTAATGATGAAAGAGAAGAATTGTCATTAGAAATCACCGAGGATACTGGACCACCAATATTAAGAGAAGAAGTCATCTATGCTATCAAAAACACAAAAGAGGGTAAAGCTACTGGACCAGATGAGGTGCCCATCGAATTATTAAAACTCATCGATGAAGATGTTATTGATGTAATGGTTGAACTCTTTAATCTAATATATCAGACTGCCACAATCCCCAGACAATGGCTGCAATCAACCTTTGTAGCAATTCCCAAAAAACCAAGTTCAACAACTTGCTCAGACCACAGAACAATAGCTTTAATGAGTCACACACTTAAAACATTTTTGAAAATAATTCACAGCAGAATTGTTAAAACTCTTGAATATGAGATTAGTGACACACAATTTGGCTTTAGAAATGGTATGAGTACAAGAGATGCTTTGTTCGGCTTGAATGTGCTGGCTCAGAAATGCATATACATGAATCAGGATATGTACTTATGTTTTGTAAAGGCATTTGATAAAGTTCAACATAAAAAGCTTGTAGATATATTAAAAAGCAAAAATATTGACAGTCGTGATCTGAAAATAATATCTAATTTATATTGGAATCAAACTGCGAAGGTAAGAGTTGACAGCCAGTACACCGAAAATATCAAAATACAGAGAGGAGTCCGCCAGGGTTGCGTGCTGCCCCCACTACTTTTCAATGTCTACAGTGAAGCGGTATTTCAAGAAGCGCTCTCAGACTCAATAGAAGGTATATCTATCAATGGAGAAGTTTTGAATAACTTACGTTTTGCAGACGATACAGTAATAATTACGGATAACAACAATGATTTACAGAACCTAATGCAGCGCCTTAATGAACGCTGTCATGAGTACGGACTGAAGATAAATTTAAAGAAAACTAAATGCATGATCATGACTAAATCTGCACATGCAAATATCCAATTGACTATTGAAGATACTGCAATTGAGAATGTTAATAACTATAAATATTTAGGAACATGGATAACATCAGATGTAGACCAAACCAAAGAAATTAAGACACGTATTGAAATAGCACGTACATCATTTATTAAACTTAAAAAGTTTGTTTGTTGTCGGGATATAAGGTTAGAACTACGTCTGAGAATGCTTCGATGTTACGTGTTCTCTACTCTTCTTTATGGTCTGGAAGCTTGGACACTAAAACAAGTTCATCTGAATAAGCTGACCGCCTTAGAATTTTGGTGTTACAGAAGAATCCTACGAATATCATGGATTCAAAGAATGTCAAACATTGAAGTAACTAGAAGGATAGGAAATGAGGCGGAAATAATATTAACTAATAAAAGACGAAAACTTGAATACTTGGGACATTTGATGAGAGGGCAAAAATACGCATTATTACAACTTATTATGCAGGGCAAAATCCGAGGAAAGCGAAATGTGGGAAGACGAAGAATATCCTGGCTTAAGAACTTAAGGGAATGGTTTGAATGCAGTAGTGCAGAACTTTTTAGAGCGGCAGTCAACAGAGTCCGCATAGCCATGATGATTTCCAACCTTCGATAGAAGATGGAACTTAAAGAAGAAGAAGAAGAAGAAGTCCCGAAGGAAGCTGTTTCCTTCAATGGATTTTTCGCAAAACCATGTTTTTCAACTCGGTGTCACTCGTATTTCAAAACTAGTGTACTACTTATCACGACAAACCAAACGGCATTTTACTTTTTAGATGTCTCTCTACGGTCGGGGCACAACCAAAAATATTCATTGTTATTTAAAAAAGTTATAAACAATTAAAAGTGAATAAAAATAGTCGAAAAATTAAAAGTCCGCTATTTTGTTTATTTTCGGTGAAAATGATTGATTGTAGCACCGACCATATCCAATTCAATACAAAATATGAAACCATTTAGTTTTTTGCTTTCGGATGATTCGCTTCCAAAAAATAATGACACCCACCAACAAATTGGATGAGTTTGGGCAGCCATCTTCAGAGCCGCCATTTTGAAAAAAAGAAAAAAGAATTTTTTTCAAGTAGTTTAATGTACTTCACCTGTAAAGAGTTTGATTTTCAAATATCTCTTGTACTATAAATAACATTTATTAAAAAAAAAACATGGTTTTTAGGGAAACCTCGCCTTAAAACCAACTCTTGATCAATATCTCGAAAAAATTTATACAAAAATTGTACAAAAAGCATGCTTTTGGTTTTCAGTTTAAAAATCTTACCTTCCAAAAACTCCATTACTACCCACAACTCATCGTTCACCAAATAACTGTCGAACATTTCCACAATATTCGGATGATGGTAATCCCTCATGATGACCACCTCGTTGAATAACAGTTCTCGTCGTTGTTGTTTTCTCAAGTCCATTTTCTTCACCGCAACTTGTCGGCCTGTCGTACGATCGTGAGCAATGCATACGGTGCCAGTAGAGCCTTCTCCAATTTTGATGAATCTCTCAAGGTTTTCCCGAGGATCTTTCGATGACACGACCATTTGTAGAGCTGCCCGAAACTAAAAAAAAGTTAAGTCTTTAAAATTATAATAAAATAGTAGTTTCTAGTGTTTAAGAGTTGACACTCAACTATAGTGTATTTTTATGTATGAGAGAGTAATAAAACAATAAATTATGTATGCAAATCCCTAAACTGTTGATACGGGTGACTCAATGAAAAACAGATATTTGTCAACAAGTTTACAGAAGTATATAGGAAAACAATTTTAAATTGAGTATGACCACCAGGTATAAAGGTTGGAGCAGAATAGAATACAATAGTTGTGAGGGTTACTAATCCCTAAATAAGGTTGCCAGTGTCGGAGTGATGGAGGTTAACAGGTACTAATGAATTTGCAAGAAATGTAAGATGTTTATTTTATTGGTTATATATAACCAATAAAAGTTTAATAAGTACCTACCTATTTGCAAAATAAAGTTTAATTCTTTAGATAAAATAAAAACGTTTTATTTTATCTGAAATGAGTGCATTCCACGAAGTAAGGGTTTCAACAATCAAACATTTAATTCTTTAATTCCAGGAATCTACGACAGTAATTGACTAGATAAGTACCTTCTAAACTTATTCCACAGAAAATGTGATAGTGGGTTTTTCCATTTTATAGGAAGGTCCAAGTGGCGTATTCAAAATTCTTAACAGTTCACTAAAAGTAGGTACTTCAGTTGCAAGGTGCAGTTTATTGTGTATACTAGTGTTATGGAAAATTTGGAAGTGCCGTGTAAACGCCGAAAAATTGGTCCTTTAACAGTTAATGAAAAAACATTAAATTTTAAATCATTTACAGACAAACGTTTATGTGAAAGTGTAGATGAGACCGTTGAGTTAGTTAGCAGTACACTTGGTGTTGGGAAATCTACGATTTACAGAGTTATTAAAGAAGAGAAATGTGATAGTTTTAAAATGCCACGTAATACTCCAGGAAAACCAAAATTTCAAATAGAATATCATTTTAAAGAAGGACTTCGACGGAAAGTGCATGAATTCTTCTTTAGACAAGAATTTCCAACATTGGATAAAGTTCTTGTCTCAGTTCGAGATGATAAGGATTACCCAGAAATGAGTCGAAGTACGTTATGGAAACTTTTAAAAGAAATAGGCTTACGCTGGAAAAAGAATCCCAGAAAGTCTATTTTATTAGAAAGAAGCGATATTGTCATATGGAGAAGACATTTTCTAAGAACCATAAAGGAAATGAGAAACCAAAAAAGAAAAATATTTTATCTTGATGAAACATGGATCAACGAGGGTCATACACCAAATAAATTTTGGCAGGATGAAACTGTTACAAGTCAAAGGCACGCTTTTGTAAATAACTTATCTACTGGTTTTAAACCCACCATCAGGAAAGGGACACAGGCTGATAATAGTACACATTGGCAGTTCAGACGGTTTTGTTGAAGGTGGTTTATTAACTTTTGAATCAACTCGTACCGGTGACTACCATGAAGACATGAACGCTGATGTCTTTCAACAATGGTTCGAACAAATGATAGATCTTCTTCCTAAGAACTGTGTAATAGTAATGGATAATGCAAGTTATCACTCCAGACTTATAGAAGGACTGCCCACAACCAAGTGGTTAAAAAAATACTTGCAGAATTGGCTGAGTTAAAAAAATATTACGTACCATCCCGGATCTATAAGAAAGGAACTTTATTCGTTGTGTGCCCTTCATAAAGAAAAATTAAAAAAATACGAAATTGATGAAATTGCCAAAAATCGTGGAATGACAGTACTTAGATCCCCACCATATCATTGTGAATTAAACCCGATTGAACTGGTATGGGCACAGATAAAGAGTGAAGTTTCAAGAAAAAATACCACTTTTAAAATTCATGATGTTAAACAGTTGTTTTTGGAGGCCGTAAATAATGTAAAACCTGAAAACTGGGAAAAGGCAGTAAATCACACTATTAAAGAAGAGGAAAAAATGTGGAAGCTGGACAATATTATTGATAAAATGATCGAGCCAGTTATTATAAATCTTGGTTCTGAAAGTTCATCTTCTGAATCTGATTTGGATTTGTAACAAGTAGCTGTAAGTTTTATATTAATATTTTTATTCATCTATTTAACATACCTTAGACGGTTTTAAAAACTGTTTTTCTCTTTTGTAATTTTTAAAAATTAAAAAAAATGTGAATTTTTTAAAACCCTTTTTAATGTATTCCAGTCAGTTCTAATATAGTGTGTGATAAAAGAGGTCACTTTTGTTTACATACACATAACACTTTATAACACTGAAATAATTCATTTATTTTTTACAATTATTCAAAGTAATTTTTCAATTAATCTTGAGCACGCCCATGGAGTGGTCGAAGGTACCAGTTAAAATTATGCTAATTACTCTCTCGTTCATAAAAATAAACTATAATATGTGCTTGACAATGACACAGGTATTGCAGGTATGGCACCAAGGAAGATCGCTCTGACTCATTATAGATAGATAGATAATAATGAAGATTTAACATTAAAATTCAAAGTTAGTAAGCTAATTAGAAACCTCTAGAAATTACATTATTTTCACAGCATAATATAACTCACCTGTTCGTGTGTCAACCTTTGTTCATGATGTTTACTGGACGAAACCTGCCCCGTAGCGCTGGCGGGTGCATGTGCAGGTTGAGCCTGTTGCACGCCGTTCTTCAAATTTTGGTTCTGGTCATGTCTCGCTGGTGCAGGATGGTATCCTGCATGCTGAAGGCTTTGATGAGAACCACCGTGGCTGGAATTCGGGTGTGCACCCATATGAGGAATGGGAGCCATGGGAGGAGGGCCCGACGACATCATGGATCCGGCCGGCGAGATCTGGGGATGATCGCGCGGATGATAGCCCATGTATTGCTCGGGGATGTTACCATTTAGATAAGAATTTGGAACTTCGTGATTGCTTAGGGAACGTTCAGCGGGAGAATTATCTCGTACTTGGGGTTTGCCTAAAAGGTTGAAAATACCAAATTAATCATAATTACCACTTGTTAGTAAGTAATTAAGAGTAAGACATTACAATACATATGTACAATTAAAATAAATATTTTAATCTAACAAATTATAGTTTAGTGATACAGGAAATTTATCAATTTTATGATGATTGAGTAGTTTTTGCGGATTCGTTAATATAACAATCAACAGCAATTAATTAGCAATCAAATACCCGTTTTCCTTGCCAAAATATAGCTATGGTTATGCTAGTCACCGTAAACTTAGCATAATCATTGTTTCTTGAAAAGGGTTGCAGCAATAATTTGTTTCTTGGAGAAAAACTTCGAAAATAAATTAGTAATCAATTCCTTGCGGTTCCCTTGGTAGCTTTTGGGGATTTGTTAATCTACCAATCCACAGCAATGAATTAGCAATAAAATATACCGCCAAGATGGGCCTTGTACCCCTTTTCCTAGTCGAGATATAGCTATAGCTATGCTAGCTTGACCGTAAAGTTAGCATAGCCTCTGTTTAAATTCGGCCTTATAAAATGGATATACTAACCACATCTATTTGAGCTGTATAATGAAGCAGAACAGACTTTACATGTAGCTGTATAAATATTAGTAGGATGTTGAATTTTCGAGTTAACCATTGTCATGGTCACTCAGCTTCATTTAATCAAGACTCCAGAAATTTAGTATTGAGGCAAAATTTCTTTTTCGGTGGAGTATTTTCATCATCTGGTAGTTCACTCATATTTATCAACTATAATTTTATTATTTTTCAGACTTTTATCCGATGCACCGTGGGCAGCTTTGATAAAGAATTGAGTGAAAAGTTTCCGAGCAACAGCTTCTGTCATAAATCACATACCAGCTGCTAGACCCAGAACCACGAGAACACCAGACAATATGGACAGGGTACGGTGCGCTGTAAATCGCCATTTCAGGTGATCGGTTCGTTAACATGCGCAATAATTTCAATTGACGCGCGCTAGTGTTCAATGAATATTCCGGAAGGACTTAAACTTTCACCCCTATAAAATTCAGCTTGTTAAATTTTTAAAGTCGGACGACCATATAAAACGGAAAACTTCCTGAACAATTTTTGGAATGAAAGTGGTAACATTATTTTTAGTGATGAAGCAGCCCATTTCCATCTTAATCGATGTGTGTACAGGCACAATTGCCGATATTGGGCCCAAGATAATCCGCGGCAAAAGCATCAATGTCAACGGAACGTGGTTTCAAAAAGATGGTGCCACGACACATACTGCAGCAATGTCCATCAACGCAGTTACAGAACTGTTTCCTGGTACAATTATTTCCATTAATGGAGATATTCCGTTTCCTCTACGATCCCCAGACCGGGCTCCCTTAGATTTTTTTCTATGGTGATACCTAAAGAATATCGTCTACTCCGATCCAGTGCCAGAAACGATCCAACATCTGAAAGACCGCATTACCAATGCTATACATGACATACCCATTCAGATGTGCCAGCGAGTTTTCCGCAGCTTTCTCTCTATACTAACAGCCTGCTACGCAGAAAACGGCCAGCATTTAAACGATGTTTTGTTTCAACAATAAATCCGCATTTTTAACGTATCTAACAAGTGTATTAAAATTGTTCTGCAATGATTTGAATGGTTGTTTTGTTCCTTTAACACCTTAAATCCATTATCAGACACACTGTGTATTTTAATTTTATCTGAAGTGATGAGTACAGTCCAATAATATCTAGAAGATCAATCCCTCTTACAAAGGAAATCTGACGACAATCTAAATTCATATTTTTTGGGATTGAATTATTTCATTAGAGATTCCATCGTAAAAACATGGTTTATGAAAATTATAGTAGTTTTATCGATTGTTGTAAACTCATATCTCACTAATATCCTTGCACACAAATTGCATATTACCAAGCAAACAATACGTGATTTGGGTTTGAATTACTCGAATACTCCCCTTATTCAACAGATTTGGCTTAGTCCCACTCCCATATCTTTCCTCAACTGGAAAAAAAAGTCTAAATGGTCATAAATTTTCGTCTTAGACATACATGATAGAATCTGTGGAGGTTTGGTTTTCAAAGCAAAATCATTTTTTTGACAGTTCTAGAGGAATTGCAAGTTTGTTGTAATAAATGTATCTAATTAAGAGGAGAGTATGTTGAATAATCAAATATGTTGACTTTCAAATTTTGTTTGTTTCTTTAGCAGAGCGAAAATTTTTATTGCATCCTCGTAATTTTAGTAGTTTCCCCATTACGGTTCCATTAATGAAATCAAATACTTGTTCAAGAGAAATTATTTGATTGAAAAAATGTTATTTTCCGCCATATCTTCTGGAATAATTGGCAGCATACCTTATAATAGCATAATTAAACTGACTGAAATATGTACTATATAATTATTAAACAAAAGAATAGCTTTGGTCTGTTTTTGTTGAATGCTTCTATATTGTACGAGGACGTGACAATTAAAATTAATAAAAATTATTAGGATAAGTAAATTACAGTCAAAGTTAAAATTACAAAAATTTTGTGGGAATTGTGTGGGAAAGTAAGTTTTATAGTTGAAAAAAATAGTACGAATTATTTTTAATAAATTTCATTTTATTTTAGGCTAAGGAAAAGCCACTTTTAACATTAAAATATATTAACTAAGATGGTCAACAGAGCATAAAGATTGGATTCAGTCGCAATGGAATTTAATACCATGGAGTGATGAGTCCCGATTTGAAGTGTGTGTTGGAGACAAAAAGAGTCACGTCATTCGCAGGAAAAATGAAGCTTTTCATCCCGACTGTCTGAAGAGAAAAGTCAAATTTCCTGCATCTGTCACGATCTGGGACAGCACGTCGTCTTAGGGCGAGCGCCCACCAAAGTGGCGTGGCAGTGGCAAGTAGCAAGTAGCACGCGTCTAGCATAATGTAACCAATGAAAACGAATGATTCAGTTTACATCAAAATGACAGTAATGTCATTCATTCTAATCATTCGTTAGGATTGGTTACATTATGCTAGACGCGTGCTACTTGCTACTTGCCACTGCCACGCCACTTTGGTGGGCGCTCGCCCTAAAGGTGTGGGAAAGTTACAAGTTATCGACGGTATTGTAAACAAGGACAAATAATTGAATATTTTAGAAGAATCCCTTTTACCGATTATGGAAAACTGTTTAACATCAGCGGAAGATTTTGTCTGTCAACAGGCCGGCGCAGGTTGTCATACCTCAAAAAAGAGTTTAAAATGGATTTGAAGACCATAGCATACCACTTCTGGAAAGAGTTTCTAAAAGTCCCGACTTGTCTTAGATAGAGACTTTGTGGCACGAAATGAAAAAAGCTTTGGGAACATTCTGCCAGGCTCGTCAACGAGTTGAAGGAAAAAAAAAGAAATATGGGATTCGTTTACAATAGAATTTTGTCATAACTTGAAAAAAACTATGCCTCGAAGAATTGTGGATGTTATTAAAAATAAAGAGGATGTAACTCAGTGGTAAACTTTCACATTTTTTTTTGTTAACCTTCGGCTGATAACGTTATGTCTCTCGCACCGACTGATTCAAATTTTCGCGATTTAAGCATATCTATTCAGTTGTAGTTTAGCAAGTGGACAGCGTGTATCATTTCATAAGAATTTTGAATATTATACACGATTCGGTCCCACAAACCGACGTTATAGTTGCCGTTACATTTTGAGGTAAGACTAATTTGTTTGATTTCTTGTTTGCGGTACTGATTTATATTATATTTTCGGGCATACGTTTATAATGAATTACGAGAGGGAACAAGAATGGCTGTTGCGTCTTCATGGGGAAGTTTTAAATGATTCAGAGGCACAACCAGATGATGATGTGAGTTTGATAGACGACCAAATTATAGAAACTATTGAGGATATAGACTAGGAAGAGGAGTTTGAAAATCAACAAAACTTACCTATTCTTGAAGAAACCCCTTGTACCTCAAGAATACCCTGCCTTATCGGTAAATATGGAACTACCAGGTGGCCTATGACGTTTCACCAAATCGTTCTTTTAGACCGACTAATTTATTAGAAATAAAAGCAGTATACTTTTATATATTTCTGGTGCTAGTAAAAATAACCGGAGAAACGCTGAATATTTATTTAGGACAGACGGAATGGCTATGGACATATTCAGACTTACTATGTCCCGGACACGATTTCAGTTTTTGTTGAAACATATTCGTTTCGACGATAAAGCTACCAGGCAAGAAAGAGTACAAGTCAATTGTATGCAATTTGTCCCAATATTACGATATGTCATCATTCACCACGATTGACGAAAAACTCGAAGCATTTCGAGGTAAATGTCCTTTCAAAATTTATGTGCCTAAAAAACCGAATCGCTACGGAATAAAAATATATGCCTTAATGGACGCTAAAATGTTTTACACTGCAAATTTGGAAGTGTACATAGGAAAACAGACTGGCAAACCGGAAATAATCACGGACTACAACAAAACAAAAAGCGGTGTCAACGTTGTTGACAAAATGTGCGAAGCCTACAATTGAGCTCGTGCAACTCGTCGTTGGCCAATGGTCATTTTTTATAGTGCCATGAACGTTGGCATAGACTCATGCAACGATGTACGTACTGCAGCACTACAAAAAGTCGAAGAACAAGATATTCTTGTGCAAACTGTAAAAATATTTGTGTCTAGGTCTAGAACATCAGACGGGATTATGTAGGCATTGTTTTGAAACTTATGGTGCCCAAAATTTGGAATAGTGTCAGTAATCTGTGTAAATTTGGAGAGTAAAATTTTATTTTCCTGTTTATTAACATACAAGTAACTGATTTATATTTTAGTAGAACCAGAATTTATTTTTTTTGTTATAATTATTTTGATTTTATTAAAAGCCCGTTCATAAAAATGACACTTTTTTTAATGTCCCCTTAAAATTATTAAAATGACAAAAAAATTATAAGTTTCATATATTTGTATAGAGAAGAATATACACAATTATATTATTACAAATATTTA